TGCATTTTCATGAGTCTCTTTCTTGCAACTACAAAGGGTGCTTCTCCTAAATCCTATTAATAAAGTATTAGTCTTTTGGTGGAGTAGATTACAGCCTTGCTCTTCTAATAGTTTTAGATGCTGAGCACAGTGGTTGCAGCTCTCCCAACTATAGTACCAGTAGCCAAGTATCTGCCCTAACAGACATTTCCTTGGAGCATGGGTATCCCAGACCTGCATCGTCCAAAGTAACAAAAATTTTCAATACTCCTTGAAATGTTTTGTGCCAGTTGGCCTTCATAGGATCTTTAGTAGTCTTTTGATCCAACCCTCAACTTATCAATCTACATAACACCTAATCTACTTGGAGTAATTATGTCTGTGCTTCCCTTAAATTTTTGTATTACTTATATCATTTAATCTTAATTTTCTAGAACCACTTGTGCAGTAAATAACCTCTGTATGAAGACTTATGCAGTCTTTTTCAGGTTATGTCAACATGCTCCAGCTCCTAACATACATACTCCTCTATCTAACCTAATTCTAGGTTCCTAGTTCTACCTAACTGAAACTTGATCACTGCCAATTTTGTTCCTATAAAAATATTTAGATTCTTAAAAAGATAAGTATTTATTTAAACCCTATATTAGGTAGAAACACCAGGGCCATTATGAAATTCATTTCAGTGAAGTGTGGACAAGACTATCCTTACACATGATATGTCATATAGAAAACCTCACTAAAAGTGACAGGCATGGTTCAATTCCTGTCCTACATAAAAAAGCATGCAAAATCTTTCATCTTCATTGTGACCCACTAGATTTAACACAGAGCCCACCAGGTAATTTCATGAGCTACTGTGAAAAGTAGAACAGTTCCTCATTTAAAGTACCTAGTGTAAATATCTGGGAGATGCCATACATGGAAAGATAAGTCATTGCTGCCAATTGATGTCTATTAATCCTGAGGGCTGAAAGATGAATTATAAACTTCCTGTATATACTAAGGAGTCACATCAGGTGGATTTGTTGTTAAAATAGCTATGCATAAGTTTATGCTTAGTCTATTTCTGCAACTAACATGCTAGTGATAATTGCATATCTCTAATATACTGTATCTTTCTGACCTTTCACAAACATATTCTTGTCTTCTACCATCTCAGTTGTATAAGCAAGTGGATTGGAAACATTTCTCAACAAACTATCTGACATCTGACTTGAACAATATTATGAGAGTAATCAGTAATATTCACAATTGACCATTCTCATTTGCTAATAATTATAATTAGTTTCACCTTTAAACGGCTTGTTTTCACATTGAAGTCACAATGTTAAAATTGAAATATCGCGTAACTTTAACCTCGTCATGTAAAGTAAATGAAGAAAATGTCTTGGGTTCAAGGAGTAATTACAAGAGAAGTCAGTATTCTTACCCCATGCTCTTTCTATCTTGCTCCTTTGAAGCCTAATTTGAAAAGTCAAATTGCCTACATGACTTCAGGCTATATATGCAAGTTTCATGGCAGACAATGTAGAACTTACAATAAAATTGTTGGTCCTGTTTATATATCAATACAACAGCCATGAGAGAGGTTGCCACAAAACAACCAAAGTTTGGCTTAAAATTGAAAAACCAGTACATAAACTATAAGATCAGTTGTTGCAGCCTACACTCTAGAGCATGCAAAGAGAATCCCATCTCAACTTACATTTTCTTTTCCTTTTACTGAGAGAAGAGGAAAAGTACACAGCAGGGCTCATTTCTTTGTATCCTAATTTCCACTGTGAATTTCATAAGGATTCAAGTAGAGTTGTTTACAGAAAGTTCCCTTGCAGCTAACCTTTCAGAGATGCAAGAATTAGCACAAACAGCATCCTTATTCATTATCAGCCCATGGTATGAGCACATACGACTAGATTTTGAAGTAGTCCCAGAACACTAGTCAAAAATAGACACAAAATGGAAAAACTAATGAGTACAAAGTTCAAAAGTTGCTCTTCTGAGTACAGTGAGCAGTTCAGTATACCAGCAGCTACAGGAATATGATCTTAAAGAACAATGGGTCATAAGGCAACTATGTTTTTTCTGATCTCTTGTTGGTCTGGCAGGGTATGTTCCATACTAGTCATCTGCCAACATGAGAGTTGTGCTACCTGTAACGAGCTTACTGGACTGGAGCCCTAGTTAAGGAGAAGGTCAAAGATTCATATTTGTTTAATTTCTTCCAACATGTCTGTGTCTTCCCCCCAATTGCAGGAAGATAGGTTTCTCTTGCTCCTATTCTTTCATGCTAAATTAGCCAACACATCAGATGGATCAAGGTACAAAGTCAGAGTAGCAAAGGAAATACAAAATAGAAAGAATGATATTCAAAAAATGATCCACTATACACAGTAACACAATGCCACATTTTCAGACTGTAAAAAAGTGAGCAAGGACCTTAAGTGAGACTGTATGCTATGGGAAAGTCAGCATCACATTCAAAATAAAATATTCCTCAAGGCATAACTCTAGTTTTCCGGCTACAAGCACATCATACCATTAAGCACATAATTCTTCACCAACAAATAATAGCAAATGCATGCACAGGCTTTTCAACAATGTGGTGTTATGTTGGATT